GGGGGGGGGGAAGAGAGTGGAAAGGGGTGGCAAAGGGCCAACCAGGGCCCGGGGATCGGGATCGATCCTTTCAAGGTGGTTGGGGGAGGGGGGATCTGGCGATCCCAGAGCAGGCCCTTTCTCCCGGACAAGGTCCCCGGCCTGCCCCACTTGGCTGGGGTATACTCTCGGGGCTTGCCCCCCCCCCCCCCCCCCCCCCCCCCCCCCCTCCGCCCGGCTGAACAGCCAGGGCCCTGTAAGATGCCCACTTTCCGTCGGCGGCGGCGGTGCCGGCGGCGGCGGCGGCGGCGGCCGAGCCCTGACCGAGATCCGTACCTGGGCGGGCGAGCGGGCGCCAGGGGGCCCCGGGCGTTGGGGGGCGCGGACTGCCAGCTGGGGCTGTTTATGAGGCAGAGATCTGGGTGCGGGTATGGAGATACACACGGACACACACACACAGGCACATCCATAAGCATCCATACGCACATGAACCCGCGCAACTATGCGACACAGACAACATGCTTGCGAGGTCCCGCGCGCCGCTGGGGCCGCAGACCATTGCGCAAGTTGACTGTTCCCAAGAACCCGAAAGGCGCTTTATGTTGGCGCGATCGGGGGGGGGGGGGGGCTTGAAGAAGAGAGAGGGAGAGGCAGAGAGAAAGAAAGAGAGAGAGAGTCCCGTCTTGGCAGGGGCACACGGCCGGGAGGGCGATAGGCCCCCTCGGGCCCGGTCCCCTGTCTGGCCCGCCGCGGGCCGAGCCGGCTGCGAGGCAGCACGAACCGGCAGGAACCAGCAGGAACACAAGCCCCGCACGCGGGATTGGGGGTCGGGGGCGGGTGGATTGGTGTCCAGCCCCGCGCGGCCGGCCCGCGGGGAGGGCCGGGGCCGACGACAAAGGAAAGGTCATGCTCGGAGAATCTCGAATTTCGCGCGCGGGCCCAACGGGCACTGCTAATTTTTCCAGCACACCAACGCAAGCGGGCAGGCGGCCCCCTGGCCAGAGGAAGAAGTGCGCGCGCGCGGCAGAAAGAGAGAGACACAGAGAAGCAAGAGAGCGAGCGAGGGGGCGCCCTGCCTGCACCCTGTGCCAATCTCGCCCGGCGTGAGGACCGGAATGAGGGAAAGATAAGGGTGTCATATTAACCCCGGGCCTCCCCGCTCAGCCGGGGGACCGGGCGCCGGCCCGGCCGGGGCGGAGCGGGGGGTGGGGGAGACCGTCGCCCCGGCCGGGGGAGCGCCCGACGCAAGCGATGGAGCTCGGCACCGCGCCGAGGCGGGCCGCCGCCGGCGCGTCCGCGAAAAAAGGCCCCGCCATGGGGCTGGGGCGGCGGAACGGCGGGAGAGGAGTCTGTCAGCCGTGGAGGGGGCCGATCGGGCCCGCCCCCCTCCCTCCGCCCACTTCGGAGGTCCCCCCGCCATGGGGGTGGCCAGGCGGGCGGACGCCCCCGAGGCGCCAGCATGCCCTTCTGGGCCGGGGCTGGAGGGGGGGGCGGGGCGGGGCGGGGCGGGGCGGGGGAGCATAAGCGCCGACGCTACCCCCCCCGGAGTGGGGGCACAACCCCTGGCCAGCACGTTTGGCCGTGCGTCCCGGGCGGGGAAGGCTTTCGGCCCCGGTCCCATGTGTAGACGCATCATGCCGTAGCCTCCCATTTGTTTCTCCGGCCGCCCAGGAAAAGGGGCAGGCAGCTGACCTCGCGCTCGGCCCCCGCTTTCCCCCCCCCCTCCCCGGGGGGCGGGAGCGAAGGGGCATGAGGTGCCGGCGGGGGCGGCCTCATCGCGCCGGGCCGGGCAAGCAGGCCGACAGAAGCACCAGGGGCCGGGGGCCGCCGAACACCAAAAGCAGACCCATCCGCCAGGCAGCCACACCCTCGCGACCCGCCCGATCGGCCGGGCCACCCCCCCCTCGGCCGGGAGCAGCGTCGACGCAGCCAGGGCAGGGGCACCAGGAGGCGGGAGCAGGGGCAGCGGACGCCCCCCCCCCCCCCCCGCCCCGGCAGTTACACCGGGGACACTCAAGGAAGGCCTGTTTGCGGCACGGGCGAGCGGGTGTCCTCCCTCGGCCATTACGGTGCGTATTTGGGTCGCGCCGGGGTCCGCGGGCAGGTGCTACCGTACCGGCGGCGACCGGCGGCCGCCCCGCCGACGGGGGGGGCGGAGTCATCGCACGGCCCCGGGGCCCGCGCGCTCCCGGGCGGAGGGGGAACCCAATAGGCAAGGCGGTTGTACTTGTGTGCCTCTCGGGCGTGTTCGCCCTGCCTCCCCCGGGGGGGGGGGGGGGGCGACAGGCGTGCTGTATGTCCGTGCCCCCCCCCCCCCGCGCACACGCTCGGAGCCACACACGCCTCCTTTGCGTCAGTCACGCGCGGAGGGGCCGGGGGAAAATAATAACGCCTCGATTGGCAGGACGCGCGTCCCACGGCCAAACATTCCCCCCTCCGGACGGGCGCCGCCGGATCGCGCCCAGCGAGACGGGCCCCCGGTGTGTCCGCGCAGTGGTTGAGGCCGCCGGCAGCCCCCTTGCCAATGATGCGCCTAGTGGCGGCGGCGGCGGCGGCGGCGGCGGCGACGGCGGGGGGACATCCGCTTGAGCCTGGGCGCGGCCC